CATTCGTGTTTTTCATTCCCACTGGATGTATAGTGCGAAAGCACAAATTGGGCATTCGTTATCAGCGCAATGATAACGATGAATACCAATGATCAACATTGTCATGAGAACGTTCACTGAATGATGTGATTAGCATCGGCGATCTCATTGACTCGATGCCGTGATGTCACCTTTACAACCACTGCATGATAACACTCTTCTCATCATCTTTTCATCTTTCATTCCTTTCTATGTTTTGTATCACCAATATCAAATATCTATATTTCTTTCAAACAGTTTTGTTGATTTGGCTCACTTATTAGCATCATCGCAATAAAGATAAGCCATTCTTATTTTCGAGATAGCAACAAGCCAAGAAATTCCAACTTTTTCATTCAATCTCAGGCTCGTTTCCCCCTCTTCTTTTGATTACTGATTTTAATCAATGGATTGCTGATTTTGCAATACAATTCGATGGTTCATCAGAGGCCAATTTCAATCAAAAGTGTCATTTTCCCGTTTGATAACAATTTTTTGAAGACTAATTCAGTTGCTTCACAACTCATTTTAGAAGGACCACCTTTGAGAGTTGCAAAATTTCCAACGAATCATTGTCTATCTAAGGAATAAAGCTGTTTTCGTTTCAGCTGTGTCCCGTTTGCACTGAAGGCGATTGATGAGGTGAGCGTGAAGACGCAAGACAACAATGCCTCCAAGTCGACCGCATATTGAGGGAAAGTGTCAAGTGTGTAACGAGCCGACTTGTGGCTATCATTTCGGGGTGATCTCGTGTCGTGCTTGTGCTGCCTTCTTCAGACGCACTGTTGCGCTGCAACTCAAATATCGATGTCGATTCGAACAGCATTGCGTCATTGATAAATGTCACTTACTTACAATCATTCAAGCAGCTTCATTTTTTTTAAACTGTAACTACGAATCTATTCAGCGATTAATAGCTCACAGCAAATTTTGTATGATAAACCAGCGCACATCAAAACATACCCAGTTTCCAACAATTGATCATTTTGCGAAAAAAATTTTCCATGCTCTATCACGTCAATGGGAAATAACTTGCGAGTCGTCCGAAATTACTTCTGATGACAGCAACTTCTAAAATGTCCGAAATCAGTTTTAAAATGACACAATTCATACCATCAGAAGTTCTTTCGAAGTGTTTATATGAAAAAAGTGATGTTGCAGCTATTCGGTGTATGTGCAGATATTGTCGTTACAAAAAATGCGTGCAAGTCGGCATGAAACTTGAAGGTGATCTCTCGACTCTGATCGATTCTTTCACTACTCTTTTTGTTCTCAAACTCACCAATGAACCTATCGAAGCTGCAATTATATTTACAAATTGAGACGCATCCTGAAAAATCAACTTACGAGCTGAATTTGAAATTTAAATTGTGATCACTTATTCGTTCTGTTAACTGATGAATTATTTGCAACAGATTAAAGTGAACCTTATGCACGTACTGGTTCACAATCATTTGACAAATATTGGTGTGTTTTATTAGAGTCCAACTCCATATTACCAGAGTACAACAGAGGGAAACTGCCAGTTTTATCCTTCACTCACTCAGTTCTCTGCATTGGCCATCCAATTTAAACAAGATATTCGACAAGGTCGAAACGTAGTATCTGAGTGCTTAGATGTATCAATGGGATATTGTGAATTAATAAATTGAACAAATATTTAGCCGTTCAACTGAATCGCGATTCAATTAGTAGCACAATAAAGAAACGAAAGAGTGTGATAATTGGCACTGCGATGCCGTCATCGCCAAGCAGCAGCGGTGCATCGATGTGTAAGGCACCGCAGCCATCTGAACGAGACGTCATCATGGCCAGAGTGAGCAATATTTTCGAATGTGTAAGTGTTGTTTGTTCACGTTTCTGTACTCATTTTCCTGTCTTAAGAACCTAGTCTGGTAAGATTTGCCTGTTTCTTGAAGAGCTGCCTGTTGAAAACGGTTAAAGATCTGCGGAAGAGGCATACAGATTTCTCGTAGACTCATCGAAATTGATGTATTATTATTACTAATATTACTAATACCTCACTATTTCTCATTTAATCACTTTGGAACGCTTCATATATGGGGTGAAACTACCTGCATGCAGTATGTCTTAGCAAGCATAACCAGAATTATTTATTCATATTTTTTAAGTGATCAGCGAACAATGGAAGCAAATGATGAAATTGCGCAAAAACGCGTAATTATAGAAAAAAAAAGAAACTGTTTTTAGACAATATTAGACGATGATGTCGAGAACGTATCGATTCTGGACACGATGCTCTTCGGATATGAAGAGCTGTTGGAGCAGCGTGAAACGGTGCACGCGAATGCGAGCATTCTCTCGACGAACGATTGCATGACTGAGGAGGAAAAAGAACGACTACTGATTCACAACTGTGATACATTTGTACGAATGACTGAAGATGAAATTGGACTAATCGCTCGAATGACCACTTATTTTAGACCATTTCTGAAACTACCAGCCACTCAACGGGTTCTAATTCAGTTCATTTACCTCGTTTCATTCGATTAATTTGCCCAAAGAGAATTGATTCCATGGCCGAAAAAATTTTGGAAGGTTCATCATCAAAACACCATAACAATCGTACTATTTCCTGGTACGATTTGATGATTTGAAAATTGAAAACGGAAGAAGAAACGCTAGTGTTGATTGATTGTTACATCTCAGTGGTTATGTTTAGATCAGAGCTTCAGATGGTACTTTTTGAACGATTCTGGATGCATTTCGTGAAGCTGGAACGTGCGTACGTAGCGTTCAAGAACCTTGGTGATGATACGACTGACGATCGAGTGATACTCTTCAATGGTCAAGTGACTTCTCAAGACGAATGCTTACCGGCTCTTGAGAATATGAGTAATGTGGACAAATCAGCGCTGGAAAGGTGATGAACGCTGTTATTTCTTAATCTTTTTTTGGTCAAGGACAGACACAACGGGGAACTTCGAGAATCTCTTCTGGTTCCACATGCTTTTTGACCATTCAAACAGTCACTCCTAAATCAGCATCAAACGTTACGATTTTAGGATGTTCTCATCGTCACGTGACCTCACCAAATATTCCATATATGCCCCATTAAAACGGATCAAACCAACCGAGAAGGAATTCATTGCGATTTGTGGGCACATGCTTTGGACAGCACCTGGCAAGTTCATTTTTCATTCAATCAGCAGTTTTGTTCCAAGCAACCGCGTTCTTCAGTCCACTAAAAGCAGTTGGAAATCAAATTTCAGGCGAAAACGGTTTGTCTGAGGATTTCCACGATATTGCGCGTGATGCACGTAATCAGATATTCTCGTGTCTTCATCAGTACTACATCAATGAAATGGATCTATCTAACTATGCTCCTCGAATTGGTGAATTCATGGCTCTCGTATCAGCAGTTGAGGTCTTACATTATCTTTTAATAGTTGCAAAATGGGTTCTTCCACTTCATATCATATCAAACCTTTGAATTAATACAAAATTCAGAAATGAGCACTGCTTTCGGAGATAACTAGGCTTACTTGTTCATCATTTCATTGATCCAATGGAATAGTCTTCTAGAGATCGATCCCTTCGTTTGTTTTCAAACTCATGCACCATTTCTAACATTCCATGACAGTCAGTACTGGTTCTTTTCAGTTTCACTGTTATTGATTTGTCGTTCCCGATTGCAAACTAATCATAGAATACATTTTGTAAGTTTAACAATTTCAGCGATCGGTCACGCAAAGGAAAGAGAATGCGCTCATAATTGATCTCTTTGACGTTCTTCGATTCGGTAAATCATTTGTTGCTATGTTCAGATAAATAAATAAATAAATAAATAAATAAATTCATCGATTAATCC